GTTGGAGGTTGCTGTGAGCTGTAATGCCATGGCACTCTACCCAGGGGGAAAGCTTGAGGCTCTGTCTCAAAAAAAAAAAAAAAAAAAAAAAAAGATTCTTACGTTAGCATAGTTAAAAAATGACGGGATGACACAAACATTTCTAAACCCAGTGCTTACCTTCGGAAGATAGACAAATGATTATTTATCTGGAGCTCCACAGGCTTTTAAATCTCAGAGAGTATTTCATGGTTAACAAAGTTCCCTGTTTTTAAAATTCCATGACTGTGCCCTGGGAGCTGGAGAGGATTATTTCAGTCCAGAGAAGTTTTCAGTTGCCATGGAAAGAGCTGCTCGAAGGTAACAATGAAGGTGGATAAAAGTGAGAACTTTCTGTCCAGTAGAGTTTCAGGATAATCAAATAAATGTAGTTCATGAATTATGACTTTGTACACCGATATTTAAACCAGTTTTCTTAGAATTATCGATAGTCACTGGCCTTTCCAGGGACAGAATCTAGGTCAAAGGATTTCACCTTGCACAATAGAAAGACTTGAGTGTTGGATCAAGATTTTTTTCTTTCTAGTTGATTCTGTGGTAGCTGTTTCATCCAGACCGAAATCAGGATTTATTGACAAGATAGGCTCTTTGGAACCTTATTTCACAAAATGCAGAAGTCTAAACAATTTTTAAGACATGCATGATAGGTGTTTTCAAACAAAAGGAAAAATATTTGTTGAAGCAATAAAGCTCTTACTTGAGAAGCAGGGCAGGTGGCGAATTGTAAGCAGCTGCCGATGTTGTGCCCTCCAGCGTCAGGGGCAGGAGATATTACACCAGGTCCTTCAGTCCCTGCTACACGAGGCCTCTCGATAAATTGGTAGTGAATATATGACTAAAGGAATAAAGTGGTGTATATTATAGGAGACAAGACCTAAGATCTCAAGTGTCTGCTTAGAGTGCAGGGGCTTGGGGCATCTGGTGGAAAGGAAAAGTTAAGAGAGAAAGAAATTAGGAAAATTGGTCTCCTCCATCACTAATTGAATGTGGAGTTTGGGATGGGGCAGGATGATCCTGAGGGAATGCTGGGAACACTGAAAGAAACAGAAAAGGCAAATATTCCCCCGAAAATTCCAAGCTTCTCTTTGCTCATCATGGAGCAGTTGGGTTTGTGTAAACCAGGGTTTTTCAACCTTTTTTACCTCATGCCACACTTGAACCTGTAGTTAAACTTCCATGGCACACAGAAATTATGTTGATCAAAAAAATAAAATAAAATAAAAAGAAGATACTTACTGTGCTTTGAACTCCTTTTGAAAAATAATTTAATTAATGGTCTTTACAAATTTTAATGGCACCCCCAAGATCCAGCACACCAGTTGAAAATCACTGGTCTAAACTGTCCAGGGAAGGGATGTGGCCTGTTTCTTGTGAGTTCTGGGGTGAGATTAACTGGAACTAAAAGCCAGAATCACCAGAGGAGTGAGGAGCTGGGCTGAAGATCATGATCTTCAAGAAGAGAGTCCAAGTCCAGGGGACTCTGGGCCTGGGAGGCCCATACTCCACCACTGCTCCCTGCAGGCTCCTGCTTGGCACCCCTTGTCATTTCCATGGTGGGGACCACTGGTGCCTCATTCATAGGCTCAGCTGTGTCCCAGTCTCAGGACTTGGTTAGCAGGTTAATAAGGAAATATAGTCAAAGCCCTAATCAACAAATGATCTGATCCTTCCTAGACTGGATACCCCCAAGTCCCTGTGCTTTGTCCTTATCCCTGGAATTACCCCTGACCTTCCCAGCTCCAAGTAGCAGATCCTGAAGGCTGCACTAGGCCCCCACTGTATAACCTGCTCCTTCCTGGGACATTGGGTGCTGTCTCCCCCAAGCAGTCAGCCCCTCGTGTGGCTGTCTCTGGCAGCAACATGAGGTGTCACAACTCTGCACTTGCTCTGGGCCTCCCTGCTCCTATTTCATGCTGCCTTCTTTCCTCTTTTCAAAGACATTGACCACTGTAAATAATTACAATAATGCTCATGAACACGAATTAATGCTCGTGGCACATGCAGTCAACAGAACACTCTGGAATTGCAGTAATCCCATTTTATTACAAGCCACTGTGCCTATTACAATTTTCCTATTGCCTTTATAGCCCAGGGTTACTCTGACTTCCACAAAAATCACCTTCAGAATCCTTGTCCTCCAAGGAGCTGATGTGTTTTCTTTTGCCCTCTGAGGGAATAAACCTGGTTTATTGGATTATGATCACCACAAGCATCAGAAGGGTTCCATGTCCTTCCTTCTAGAAGATGACTGGCACCTTGAGACGGTCATGGCTATAGGCCAAACAATGTAGTTACCACTCACAGATCTTTACAAAGATCTAGGGTTTGGCCCAGGACTACATAGTATCTGACCTATACTATCTAATTCCTGAAGTTTATATTCTAAGGTTGGATAAGAGACAAAGCTTCTGTCACACTTACACATTACCAGTGATTATGGATGTGATGTGAGAACAGTATGGCATTAATAGAGGATGGAAAAGTATAGAAGTGGATATGAGTATTTGTGGTTCTTGGTTAATTGACAAGGAAAAGGAGAAGCTTCAGCTTTAGTTAACTCCCATGCTCTTGGGCCACATTGCTCTTAATTTCTGGATTATGTGAGACTTCTAACAGCTTTGGGGAATTCTGTTTCAATGCAAAAAAAGATTCTAAAATAGAGGGCACATCAAAGGCATAGTCTGAGAGCTTCAATGCCTCCATCTCCTGGGATGTTGATTGAAAGGCAGATTCTAGGACTCTGCTCCCAGGTCTACTTAATCTGACTCGCAAGCCCCAGACCCAGAGGAATCTGAAATGTTAATAGGCATTTCATGAGGCTCTTATGCCCAGCAATGTTTGAGGACTCCTGCGAAGATGACTCTGAATCAGGGACACACCCACAGAGCCTTCCACATTCTTACATTCTTGCTCTTAAAGAAAAAAAATTAAATCAACTGAAAAAAGAGCACGGTAGTTTTGCAAGCATCTTTAAAACTGAGAGAACTGCAGGTATAGGAGTTTACGATCAGATCCAGAAAAAGAAAACTGTGATGGGAAAGGTTTCCACTCATCCCACAGAGCTGGATGAATAGGGTTGAGAATCACTGCCAAGACCTATTCTCACTGAGCTTCTGTGGACATTAATATTTTAAAGCCCCACTGTACCATCAGGATCCCCAGCCAACTCAGGGAGCCTGCCCAATGTCAGTGTCACTCACTTTTGAAGGAGCTGCTTGTCAGGAGTCACTTCTGAATAATAGCTTTAAAAAATATTATTTATAGAATGCTAAAGAATGCTAACACCAAAATGTGTTGCTGGTATGCTGCTGAGCAGTTCGGGTGACATTGCCAGTTGAAGCTGGCTCCCGACACGTCTTTGATAGCATCCACTGGGGTTTGAACAAAAACAGTGATTTGTTTTTTAATCTCAGAATATTACAGAGGTATGCGTGTTTTGGTTACATAATTTGCTTCTGTCTATTTTAAGTCAAAGTTATAAATGTGCCCTTTACCCAGAGAGTATGTAATTGCACCTGTTAGGTGTGAATCCACCCATCCCTTCCTCCTCTCCTCCCATCTACTTGATTCCCATTGAGTTTTGCTTCCATCTGTGCATATAAGAGTTGATCAACTCGCTCCAATTTATTAGAGCACTCGTGGTGTATGTTTTCTTCATTCTCACAATGCTTCACTTAGAAAAATGGTCTATAATTCCATCCAGCTTGTTACAAAAAAATACTAGATCACCATTGTTTTGTTCTTGTTGTGGCTGAGTCGTACTCCACAGTGTACATATACCATATCGTATTAATCCACTCATGCATTGATGGGAACTTGGGTTGTTTCCACATCCTTGTGATTATGAATTGTGCTGCTATAAACATTCAAATGCAAGTGTCTTTTGGGTAAAATGTTTTTTCTCTCTTTTAGGTAAGTATCTAATAGTGGGATTGCTGGATTAAAGGGTAGGTCTACTTTTTGTTCTTTGAGGTATCTCCATACTGTTTTCCAAAGAGGCTATACTAGTTTGCAGTCCCACCAACCAAAACCAATGATTTTTGGTTTTGGTTTTTGAGACAGAGTCTATGTTGCCCTCGGTAGAGTGCCCTGGCATCACAACTCACAGCAACCTCAAACCCTTGGGCTTAAGCGATTCTCTTGCCTCAGCCTCCAGGTGCCTGCCACAAGGCCTGGCTATTTTTTGGTTGCTGTTGTCACTGTTGTTTAGCAGGCCCAGGCCAAACTCGGTGTATGTGGCTGGCACCCTTCTCACTGAGCTTTGGGTGCCAAGCTAAAAAACAATGTTTTAAGAAAATTTTCTTCTATGATATTTAGGGACAATATCGATTCCCTAAGAAAAAACAGATGCACGAAAAGGCAAATTGTAATGTGACTATTTTTGTTCAGATCCCATTTAGTTAAAAAAAAAAAAAACAAAAAAACTACAGGTAGCCATTGTACCTCAGGAAATTCACCACTGCCCATAATTGTAAGATATGGCTATATTGATGTTTAAGAATTTTGACCTAATAGGAATCCCTGAGAAGTCAACCTAAAAGGAAGAAGTAGAGATAAAATTAATATCAATACAAGTAGAGAGTTGATTTGGGTCAAGCTTGTGGATCACAAGCTGGAAATAAAGATTCAAGCTGCTGTGAATGTATACCAAATTAGTAGCAGTTACAAGTGGATTTTTAAAGGCCAATGAAGGGGTAGCCTGATATCAAATTTTTCATCAGGAATTCTCATTGGCTTACAGAAATAAAATTGATTAGTGACTGGCTGTACATCAGCAGTTCCCAACCTTTCTGGCACCAGGGATGGGTTTCACAGAAGACAAGTTTTCCAAGGATGAAGGGGGTGAGGGGTGCGGAGAGGGGACAGAGCAGGTGCTAATGCTGTGGGCTGGACCATTTCCAAGGAACCACATATTGGTGCCAGCCTGTGCCTGGGGAGTTGGAGACTACAACGATCCATTATTAAGGTATAAGTTGCAGCCTGTAGTATCCAGTGTGGTATTATTAGGCTAACTTATAGATACCTGTGGTAATGGCAATCAGTTTTAAGAGATGACAACACAGCTCAAAACAGGGAGTAGGATGCAACTACAGGCTCATTTTAAAGCCTTTCTGGACCCGACAATTTCAAAGGACTCACATACCTGCCATGAAAGTTCTTTTCTTTCCTCAGGAATAAATATTTCCAAGCTAGTACTATTTTCGTTATTTTTGTCACATCTTAGCCCATTTGTGCTATTGTCACAGAATTCCACAGACTGAGTAAGGGTAATTTGTTTTCTCACCATTCTGATGCTGGGAAGCCTGAGATGAAGGCCCCCCACGCCTCCACTGCAGCCTCTGGAGGGGAGGGATGCAGTGCCCCCAGTGGTGGAAGGTGGAAGGACGACATCGCTGAAAGCTGCTGAAGCCCCCTTTATAAGGTCCTCAATCACATTCACGAGGGAGGAGACCTCATGGCTGATCACCTCTCTGAAGCTGTACCTGTCAAAACTAGCCCCTTGACTGTTGATTTTCAACATCTGAGTTTTGGAAGGGACACTTTTAAACACTAGCATTTCATTACCCAGTTCATAATATCAGGTGGAAGTTTTGTTTTTTTGTTCTGGCCTATTAACTAAGGTAATGTTGCCTGGTCCCTCTCCAGCCCCTGGTTTAATGGGTCTGGGTGAGGCCCAGGTGATTAAGATGCATGGTGCTGAGAACGCTCCTTAACAGTCAGTGAAATAGGCCTCTATCAGTATCATCAGAGAATAAATTCTCAGTCATACAGGGGTTTCGTGTACTTAGTAATACAAAAGTTTCCAGACTGAAATAGGATTTTCTACCTCCAATTTAGTCATCTCATTTTTATGAGCTCTAAGCCTCTAAGGGTCTCAGAGCCTAATTCGTCATGAGTCTAGTAGTGTAAGTTTATGGCCTCAAGGCTGGATATCTGAGTCTAAAGGAATATTATTTCTGGCCTCTCTTAAATTAGAGCAGATCAGACCATGCATCTTTGGTTACAAAGTGAGGTGTGTTACCTTTGTGTTACTTGGGCAGAGACTGACACCACATCAGGAGGGTCTGGATGCAGATGAGATAGAAGGAGCGACAGAGGAACACCTCTTATCACCCCTGAAGCGTATAATCCATCAGACACAGTCCTTCCCAGCTCCCCACATGC